GTGGAGTAGACATTACATACATAAATGTTCAGGATGTACATGAAAAAGCAAAGATGGTAAGAATTTGCATCCTGGGAAGCTGTTGTGTATTGGTGAGGTTTTTTTTTTTTTAATGTTTATTTATTTTTGAAAGACAGAGTGCTAGCGGAGGAGGGGCAGAGAGAGAGAGAGAGAGAGAGAGAGAGAGAGAGAGAGATGGAATCTGAAGCAGGCTCCAGACTCTGAGCTGTCAGCACGGAGCTCAGTGTGGAGGTTGAACTCCCGAACTGTGAGATCGTGACCTGAGCCGAAGTCGGACGCTTAACCGACTGAGCCACCCAGGTGCCCCTATTGGTGAGCTTTAAAGATAGTGCTTGCCCAGCCTTAGTCTGGCAGAGAGAAGAGAGCTGGTCCTGAGTCTGGGGAGAGCATGCGCAAAGCTCCAGTGAGCGTCCTGAGTGTATGTCCTGCCGTGAAGAAGAGGGTTCATACTGGGGAGCAGTGAGACGTGACATTGCAAAAGTAGGACAGAGAACTCCGAATATGCCAGTAGCCGCCTCCTCACTTTCCACCCTTCGTGGGGCAGGTGCCCGGTCATGTCTTGTGAAAGGCTGACCTGTGCCTGGGTGGGGGTGGCGCCCTCCGGTTTTACAGGAAGAAGAGCCTCGTTTTAATCTCCTGGTATCATTCACATCTACCTCGTCTCCAGACTTCTATTTCTTCATCCGTAAAGGTCGTCTTTGATTCTTGTTGACTCTGATGTACTTGCTGCCTGTACTAGTCCAGAAATTCAGACAGAGTGTGAGTTTTACCCTCTGGTACCTTTACTACCTATCCCAAATAAATAACCTGTGTGGGGGCGGTTGCCCCGGGATCACCTTCCCACAGGCCATGTTTCTGTGGCCTGGCACTCCTGCTCCCTCCTCTGTTGTCTCCATGGCCCCCAGGATAGACATAAAATACAGATGCTGGGGCTAAGGATACCGGGAACAACACCAGTGGCAAAACAGAGGTAATCTGTTCACTAGTGGTGATTGATTGTCCGAAACATGAGGTCAGGTGATGTAATGATGCTTGGGAAGAGCTTTGAACACTCTTTAAAGAGAGTTTTATGAGAATTTATAGTCTGGAGTGGTATTAGAATGCATGTGAGGTTTGATGTCAGCATTGCTTTAATGCTTATTATATCTATGTTTTTAATGCGTCAAAAATGTACCAACCATTGTACAGAGTTCCTGATCCCTGGACTAACTTTCTTACCGATTCATTCATCCATCCATCCATCCATATATGTACATTAAAAAGCAAACCCCAAAACACTTAAGCTCCTACCGTGCAGAGGGGATATGAGAGGAAAATAAATCAGGACCTTTACCATCCCAAGCTTACTTTATAGTTGGAGAGAACAGGCTAAGACACAGCTAATAGTTCAGTAAAGTAGTGATTCTTAAGGGGCCAAAAGAGAGACACAGAAAATAAATGCTATTGGAACAGGAGGGAAATAGGAAATTATATAATAGAGCAGTTGGGGGAGGGGCAGCTAGAAATGTTGTAGAAAAGGAAGAAGATTCTTAGAGGAAAGCAGCTCTGTGGCGATCCTGAGTGTTCTACGTTCTGAAGGAAAGAATGCCGTGAGGGGGTTAATAAAGTACGTTGGGCTTATTTGAGATTTGTCGAAGCAATAACTCCTACCATTTAAAAGGCCCCAATGAAGCTTTGAAGTTAACACCTCATTGTGGAGAAGGATGATGGCTTTTCATTCTGTACATTTATACCCTTACTTTAAAAAGTAGGACAGGGGACTCTGCCTGTGCCAACATAGTTCCACCTGGCTTCAAGGCCCCTCTTCCTTTCCTGCACCTGACCTGCCTCCTCAGGTGGGATGTGTAAATCCCACTGCTGAGAGGGGACAATGCACGGGTACAGGGTTTCCTAGCTGACAGCCCCAAATGGCAAGTACCCAGTCTGTTACTGTTTTCAGACTCCTGTTTCCATTCGTTCTAGGGATCTCCTTGCTTGTTCTCAGGCCGACCATGATTTACGGAGGGCCTACTAAGTGAGATGTATGCAAAAGCATTAGGTAAAGGCCTAGAAATGTCAAGTAATATTGTTATTAAGCACTGAGGGGGAGGCCAACAAGGATTAGACAAATCTCTGCCTTCAGCATCCCACTCGTGACCCAGGATAACTAGCGCTAGAAAGCAGTGTGTGGAAGATACCAGTGGGGGATTGCAGACCACAAGACCTGAAGATTGGGGGCTCTCTTTTGTGCTCCCTTTTCTTTGGTTTCGCTTCTTGCCACCACACTTTTCACTTGCTCTGAAGACCCAAGAAACACTATTGGGGAAAAAGAGACTTTCCTTTCTCCCCATAGACCTTGGCTGGCGGGATGGGGCGGGGGAGCGGGGGGAAGAGGCAAGCTTTTTAAAATTTCTTTTATTTTTATTTATTTTTTTCATTATTTTTAATGTTTATTTATTTTTGAGAGAGACAGACAGAGCATGAGTAGGGGAGGGGCAGAGAGAGAGGGAGACCCAGAATCCTGAAGCAGGCTCCAGGCTCTGAGCTTGTCAGCATAGAGCCTGATGTGGGGCTTGAACTCACAAACTAGTGAGATCATGACCTAAGCTGAAGTCAGATGCTTAACCAACTGAGCCACCCAGGTGCCCCAAGAGTTTTTTTACTTGTAATATTGGTTTTATTTTTATTGGAGCTTCATGGGCATTTTATTTACATACTCTTCCCATGCATATTAGGCTCTGCTGGTGCTGTTTTAATGAGCAAGGTTCTTGCAGCTCTCTTTATGAGAGCTGCATTCCTTTACAAGCTATCTGACTGTGGCCAGAGGTACAGATAACAGTTCCGGAATGAAATGCGTCTGTAGGAACCCAGCAGGTCCTAAGGGAATCAAACCCTTGACCCTAGGTCTCATTCACATCATGCTATGAGCAACTGAACTAACTGCCCACAATTTAGCAGATTAGATCCAACAAGATGTCCAAGAATTTGTCAGTATATCCCAAAGACAGTAAATCTCATTGGGGCAACATGTAGGCACCAGAAGAGCCTTCTTAAATGTTTTTTTAAAAAAGGCAAAGTTAGATTTCTAAGGCAAGATACATATGTACCTATGATGGTGTCAACCAGATTGCTTAAGGGTAACTAAGATCGCAAAGAGGCCAGAAGTCATGGCTCTGTATCTCTCAAGCAGCGTGATTTTGTCATGTTAATGGGTAAGATTAGAATGGATTATCTTAGCAGTAAATGAGGGATTTGGGCCTTTCCATCAGAGTGCCCCAAAGGAGGGTAAATGGGTACTATAGAGAATCTGGAGGACACGACCTAAATCTTTGTAAGTGCAAAATTTTGTTGAAGTCACTTTTTGTTTGTCTCCCTAGAAATTCACCCAAGTGTTGTATTCTACCCCATATCTTTTGTTAAGTTTGTAGTTGTAATGTGGCTAGTTACACAGGTATGTGTAGTTTAGTACACAATGTCAAGAAGCCTGTCTAAAAGAATACCCAAGTTCATGTGCAAAACAGAGATTAAAAACAGATACTACCCTGTTCAGTGAAAGAAAGTTTAATTATATCGTTTACTTCTGCACCAATTATTATAAACTGAAGATTAGGGAGGGCTTTATTTTATTTTTTTCCTTTTAAGTTTAGAATTTTTTCCTTCTCCTCACCATAGATTATTATATAAGGGATCTCATGTGAGACTGTATGGAGTTGTTAATATTCCTTCATACAGAACACATTGCAGGGTGTTTCAGAAACATTTCTTGGTAGCACGAACTGAGTAAGGCAATTCCAGAAAATTCTACGTTTTGTAAGTTGTAAAAATGACTGTATAATCCCTTTAAAGTCCACATTAGCTCTCTTTGCCCAGAAGGAGTTAATCTTCAAGACATTACAGTCTCAAATGACTAGAAGTGATTGGTCAAAATTCTGTAAACCTAGCAGAAATTTGTGGCATTGTTTTCTATAAACCACAGCCAGAGCTCAATAATTGAAAAATGAATGTCAATTCCCATTAGCTGGCATCTATAAACCAAAAAGGTACAGTGATCCTGGCATATGACGGGTAATAAAAACATCAGCAGAATGCATCAGGTAAAACAGAGAAGGTGAGGGGGTGGAGGAATAAATTCAAAACCATATTGGAGTTTACTGGCAAGGCCCCACATCGGGGGTTTTAATGAGGCTTCTGCATCAAAATAAGGGAAACCACATGGAATTTTAATTATGACTACAGCATATTTTAAGTACCAATACCCACGAGAAGCATTTTTTTTTTTTTTACACTGACAAGCCTATCTGTGTGAGCTCTGTGCTTCTGTGGGGGGGGGGGGGGGGGGGGGGCCGGCGTTGATGTTTTAAGTGGGGCTTCTTTCTGTTTGAAATTGTTCACGTTATTCTGGTTTCTCTCACATGATCCGAGCATTGAATGTAATCTGTACAGAAGTGGCCTGCCTATTACTGTTAGCTCCGCCAGCCCCAGCTCACCAGATGCTGTGCAGTGAAAAGGCTGGCCAAGGAACCTCTGTGGCCTCCACGTAGCGCCTGTGTCTCCCAAGGCAGACTGCATAAGCACGGAGCGGGGCGGGGGGAGGGGGGGGACCTTAAATCTCATCTGCTCCCTTTTGAGCCTCTGTCATAATCACTACTTCCACGTTTTAACATTTGAGCCGGCGAGGATTTTGTATTTGGGAGGGTTAGGCAGGGGCCTGTCGAAGATGGAAGAATTTATGAAAAGCAGAGAGCAGCTGCCCAGACTGCGTTAGTTTTGGTTCGTCATCTTGAAAGTGTTCGCTTCTGGTATTAGACGCCGCTCACTAGCTTCTTACCCTCTGCTTATGGGCCTGGGGAATCCGGGAAAGCACTGAAGAGGGGTGGGAACTTCTCTGCCTCCCTCTCCCCCTCCCCCTCGGCTTTGCTTCTCCTGCTGTCTTGGAGTTCAAGGTGCTAGAACCGTTAGAGCTGGAAGGGAACTTAGAGCTCATCCCCCTCATTTTACAGATGATGACACTGCCACTTCTGACTTCTGCCTCTGGCCTTCCACTCTCAGTAAGAAGAGCCAGGCAGGTGAGACTTTTAACAATTGCGGGGGCTGGGCTGGGCGGGGCTGTCTGATTGGTACTGTCCAATGTTCGAGAAAAACTTTTGTTAACTCTATATTGCTTTTAAATAGTCACTTTGGATTACAAATGCACACCATGGCACTTAGGGAGATCACAGGCGGTGTGCATTTTGACAAAAATCAAAACTCTCAATCGGCACCTTTAAAGAAAAGTATCAGGATTATGCCTTGAATAAATACTGGAGTATCCAAGAACAAGGGCTAAATAAAAATGGGACTGAAGAAGTACCTCCTGACTAAGGCCTTGAAGAAGTCCTAAGTGCTTTCCCTTATGGATCAAAACTATAGAAAAGCAAACACGTGAGATGCAGAGAATTGGAAGATTTTAGATGCGACACAGTCTTGAGAACACCAGCATTATAGAAGGTCTTGTCATAATTCTGTCAGTTTTAGAAAATTGTAACCCAGTCGCTGGAGATCACAACTAAATTTTTAGGCATTTCGGAAAACTGATTTCTACATGAAGTGGTTTATGGCTATGGTTTTATGAGTTTAAGCACCAGAAATACCTATTAAGGAGGCACACTGTTAGCTTTAGAAGTTAAAGGACTTTCCATTTCAGGGCAAAGCCAGCTTTGCCTCCAGGTACCACTTGGAATTAGCCTGAAGCTGATTCCTTAGGATGTGGCACAGGGCCCTGGTGAATGGGTGTTGAGGCGCCCTCTTACCCCTCTCCCCTGGGCGCAGAGCGTCTCATGAAAGCTACGGTTGGCCGCTGGCCTAAATGAGGTCCTGGGTCTCCCATTGAGACACGAAATGCATTGATTCCTAGGTACTATAAGCCTTCCCCCCACCCTCACTTTTAAAGCCCACTTATTTAGTGTATGACCCTAGGGATAATTTCTAAGGGCTAGACTCTCCTCATGTGCCCCCAGAAAAGTAAGATAGTTCCAGAACACGTTGAAATCTGGCTTGATTTCAGTCCGGTTTGATTTTTTTTTTTTTTTTTTGAAATCTGTTACTAAGATGAAGAATAAGACAAGATTATAGATTATTTTAAAAATGGAAAAGAAGTAATAGGAACATGTTAGGGTATCTTTTTGAAGTTCCTTCATTGATGAAGGGGCCTTGCCAAGAGTACCAGTAACAAAACTGATCACTTTGGGGTTTCTTTATATTGGGTTGAGAAAATAAAATTAGGTTGAGTGACTTAGTAAAAATGTCACTTTTAAATATCTGAGGTGCAATGAGAAACGAAAAGAGAAAAAAAAAACAAAAACAATGAGGATTCAGTCTTAAAGTCTGAGGAGTGAATCTATAATGAGCGGTGTTGGGTTGGTTTACACATAAGACCTAGCACACATTTGGGCTTTTTTCAAGGGGGTGAAGAACTTAAGGATACGTGCCGCTAAGACGGTAAAGTGGAAAAAAAAAAAAAAAAAAAAAAAAAAAAAAGACTGTCTAGTGACCGGTGCATTTGAAGGTCTGTTTGTGGCTTTGCTGTTCCTTTTTGGGAGGCTAAAGTTTCTTGTTTTTTTTTGTTTTTTTTTGTTTTTTTCTTGTAACAATTCTCTCTTTATTTTAATTGATATTTACAGACTTTTTTCCCCCCCATCTTCTGTTATAATTTTTAGGTGCTTCAGAACTGGGCCCTTTTTCAGACCCCAGGCAGTTCCCAAGCATTTCATCCCTCACTGAGAGCCGGTTCTCCAACCCACGAATGCACTATCCAGCCACCTTTACTTACACCCCGCCAGTCACCTCAGGCATGTCCCTCGGTATGTCCGCCACCACCCACTACCACACCTACCTGCCACCACCCTACCCCGGCTCTTCCCAAAGCCAGAGTGGACCCTTCCAGACCAGCAGCACTCCATATCTCTACTATGGCACTTCGTCAGGATCCTATCAGTTCCCCATGGTGCCGGGGGGAGATCGGTCTCCTTCCAGAATGCTTCCGCCATGCACCACCACCTCGAATGGCAGCACGCTATTAAACCCAAATTTGCCCACCCAGAATGATGGTGTTGACGCTGATGGAAGCCACAGCAGTTCCCCAACTGTTTTGAATTCTAGTGGCAGAATGGATGAATCTGTTTGGCGACCATATTGAAATTCCTCAGCAGTGGCCCAGCAGTGTCTGGGAGCCGCATCCCAAATGTATCGATATATACATATATAGAGAGAGCGCATATATATGTATATCAATTAGCTATCTACAAAGTGCCTATTTTTTAGAAGATTTTTCATTCACCCACTCAGTCATGATCTTGCAACCATAAGAGGGTAGACACTGAGAAGCAGAAGGCCCAAGAGAGACAATTGTATTCAGGTTTCAGATGGTTTTCTATGTAAGACGTACTTTCACAAAGGAAAAAGGTATTTTTGTTGTGTTGTCGTTTGGCCTGTTATCATAAATAACCCGTTCCTATGCCAATTCAGAGAGGTGGACTCCAGGTTCAGGAGGAAGAAGAGCAAAGCCACTTCCTCTCTGTGCTTTGAAACCGCACACCCTCACGGTTGCAGCTGTGTATGGACCAGTGCCCTCTGCAGACCAGCTTACAAAGCCAGTCGAGGTGCACGCGGAGGGCAAAGAGGTAGAATGGACGCTTCCCGCATAGTGCGATCCATTCAGAGTAACTGTTCCAAACTGCTCTCAGACTTGCCGCAAGTTCTCGTACGATCTGTTTGGTTCAGTTTTGTTGTTGTTGTTGTTGTTGTTGTTGTTGTTGTTGTGTTCCTACTTTTAAGAAAGCGACTCCAAAAATACTGATCAGGATAGATGATTTTATTTTACTTTTTTGTACTTTTTTTGTTTCCTTTTCCCATTTAACCAAAAAGAAATCCCATCCTTCGATCCTTACCCCCCTTCTCCTTTCTCCTTTTATGCAAAACTGAAAATGGCAATACCTTATTATAGCCATAATGGTATAGATAGTGTTTGTGTTTGGCTGTGTGTTGTTTTCTTTTTTTTTTTAAATTATGAATATGTGTAAAATCTGAGGTAACTTGCTAACGTGAATGGTCATATAACTTTAAAGATATATTTATAATTATTTAATGACATTTGGACCCTTGAAACATTTCTTAGTGTACTGATGTGTTGACTTCGGTCTCTAAAAGTGCTCTTTATTAAATAACAAATTTCTTCAGTGGGCTAGAGCCATATCTGAAATATTGCTAAGCAGTTTCAGTTCAGGCACAATGTGATTTTTCAAAAATACGTCCATCTCCAAATATTTTAGATGTAGCTTGTTTTTGTGACGTATGAAGGAAATGTTATGTCTCGTTCTTCCAGATCTTTGATCGCCTCTAACACAGCTTTGCCTTTTAAAGCAATAATTGGGGATTTAAAAACCAACTCTTAGCCCTTTATCTCTTATTGTTGCCCTTTGTTAGCATGAAATGCTGGAGTGATGTGGTTTCCTAATTTCTTTCAAATAACAATGACTCTTGTCATACTAAAAAGACAAGCACAAGTGAATCATGGAACTGCAGAAAAACGTTCTGCGGTTTCATAGTTAAAGCAAAACTCTAAATCGCCAGGCTTCACAGGGAAGACGTAGCAGGCGGCCGCACTTGTGGCTGAAGGGTCCATCAGGATGCACTTAGTACAGGAAAAGCCAAATTGTCCCGGGGATTCTTAACCCACCGGCCTTGCCAAACAGAAAGTCAGGAGAACCCAGGCCTGCCCTCCCCGAGGCCCCGCCGGCAGCTCTCCACTGGACTCTGCCCTTAAAGGAGCAGATTCAGTCATTGTCTTATGGGGGAGCGGGTCATCTGAAGTAGCAGGCAAGTTCCAGCAGGTAGCTGACCTGAGAGAACACCTGGCCTGTGGAGAGCCATAGCCAACCCTTTTGCGTCAAGGGAAGGCAAGGTCATGTGGAGTTTGGGATCTTACTACTGTGTATGAATCTGAGCGGAAGCCCTCCTGTAAGATGCACTTTGACCGCTCCTGGCGACCACATGGCAGATTCTCAAGCGGGAATCCTTAATCCAAGCCAGGATCATTCGATGACACCACCGGGCAAATCCCTGCCTGGGCTCCCACAGGTCCGGGCCCCTTCCTTTCAATTCGGTGCCCCTCTGAACAGAACTTTGTAGAGATTTGCCTCCAGCGCCTAGAGACCCCCTGCTCTGTCGTCCTGCCGCAAGCCCGCTTCACTGGCCGCCAGGCCTCGCAGGGCAGCGTGGAGGGCCCCGTGCTTCTCGCTGGGCGCCTCCCTTGCAATCGCCCCGACTCCTCCCAACAAAAACCGAGGGCAAAACAAAACAAAGCAAAACGAAACTCTTTGCCTTCTAAAGGTTGTATACCAAGTATGCTTAGATAAATAAGCCACTTTTCTCTTACTTAACTAAGATGGCAGTAGTCGCTGATACTATTTATTGTTTGTGTGTGGTAGCTTGAAGCACGACACTGTCCATTTATTTGTAAGTGTAAAATATGTGTGTGTGTTTCAGCAGCACTTAAAAAAGCCAGTGTCTGGTTACACATTTCAATTTTAATTAATTGACCTAAAAATGTTACCGCCGGTGCCAGCTGTACCCTATTTAATAAAAAAAAAAAAAAG